TTACGGACAATTTGTCGAAGATTTCTGATGAAGAAGAAAGCACGTGAAGCCATACTGATCAATCACTCAATGGTTGCCGACACGAGTGAAGAATTGTACCTCTACAGGTATTAAAGAACTTCCTATAACTGTCCACCTTCACCCTCTATAGCAAGGTAGACATACAGAACCTTTCTTCATCTCCGAGAATGCCTTCCCAACGAAGCCTCTCGAGTCACTCAGTGTTCCTTATTCCTTGGGGTACCTCTGCAAACAAATGACACCAAAGCAAAAGTATCTCATATCACCAGGGTAGAAAGCAAGAGTATCTCATATCATGCTTTCTCCCTGTCATTTCTTTTGTCCTTATTCTTACCTGTAAAGACAAGGATAAAGAAAGTAATATGTCGGAACCTCCACTCAAACTCGGGTAAGGAATCGACTACCTGGAACCTTTACCGGGTTGCTTACCTGGCATTGCTCTCGAGTACTCATCTTCAGCTGCTGATGTACTTCCGAAGAAAATGCCACATTTGCCTGGAGAACAGATAAGGTAAGTGAAAATGATACCTTGCAGCATGTGAAGACAACGTGCAGAAGAAACAAGCAGAGAAGAATGCAGCTTGCACAGTCAACTCAGCAGAAGGAGTCTGAGTTGAGGAACTCAAGAAGCTACCACATCGTCCTGGAGAACAAATAAGGAAATGCGGCATGCATAATCAACTCAGCAGAAGGAGTTCGAGTTGAAGAATTAGAGAGAAAAAGGGGTTTGAGTTGAATCCAAGAGCTCGAGAAGCTTCAACAACATATTGACGGCACCATCGCCAAAAAACAAAGCCTCGCTATGCAACACTGTCAAATCGCCACCACTTCTTCGAAAGCAAGAGTATTTCATATCATGCTTTGTCCCTGTTATTTTCTTTGTCCCTGTCATTTTCTTTGTCCTTGTTCTTACCTGCGGGACAAGAGAAAGAAAGCAGTCAGCCAGCACTTGGTATCAATCTTCCGATCTGGAACCGACTGCCTGGAACCCTTCCTTGATTGCTTACCTAGCACTGCTCTCGAAGTACCCATTGTCTCAACATCTTATGCTTCCAGAGAAGATACCGCATCTGCCAGAAGAACAGATAAGGCACGGAAAAATGATACATTGAAGCATTTGGAAACAAGCACAATAAAGCACGTGCCGATTCATCTGCTACTTCTTCAAAATCAAAAGTATCTCATATCATCAGGGTTGCAATCACTCTGGGTGGAGGACTCGTTTTGACCCTCAAATTCTTGGGTCGACTCGCTAGGCGTTGTGGGCTGCACATGTTGATTCACCACCCTTGAATCAAATCCTTAAAGATCAAGTCACTAACTGGAAGAAGAGCCCATCAATCTTGAAGATCATACCGTTGACCAAACTGCTCAGGTGTGAATTAGAAAGATTGAACAAAGCAACAAGTCGTCACCTTCACCTCGTGCCTGCTTGCCATGTGTTCGTGTTAACCTTCAAGAATCAAGCCTCAACGGCCCTTGAAGAAGCTTCCAGCAAAATTCAAGATCAAGCCTCGACGGCCTTTGAGGAAATCACAAGTCCGATTCAAGATCAAGCGTCCACCACCCTTGAATCAAATCCAGTTCAAGAATAAGCTGTGGAAAGTCAACAATTAGAGGAATCTAGAAAATCCTCTAACCCAGTTCAAGATCAAAGCTGTGGAAAGTCAACAAGCGCAAAAAACAAATACGTGCTAATTCATCCACTACCAAAGCCAAAGATTATCTACCACATGAAGCTCCTTGTGGTCCAAATTTCAACCTTCAAGATCAAACATCGACGGCCCTTGAAGAAATTTTCAGCCTAATTCAAGATCAAGCCTCAACGGCCCTTGAAGAAATTTCACCCAATTCAAGATCAAGCCTCAACGGCTCTTGAAGAAATCTCCAGCCCAATTCAAAATCAAGCCTCGATGGCCCTTGGATCGACATCTACATTAAGGGACTTCAAAACGCATCTCCTACACGCAACAAGCACATGTATACGACGCGCCTTGAAGTGGGGGCATTTGTAGACATCGAAATTTCGGTGAAATAAATGTTGACCAATAGTTACAATTTCAACGCTCACATGTCATATAAATTTTACACGTAGCGTGTGACTAAACGAAAAATCAAAATAAATAAGAAAAGTCATCAAGCAGGACACGTGTCAACACCTGGCATAAACGATTTATTTCATCTGAATATCATATTCAAAATTAGGCCTTGGAAAATTCTATAAATAGAAGCCATTTCATGCATTTTGAGGGAAGAAATTCATAACCAATTCACATTACACCAAAACCCTGAAGCTCTGAAACTCTAAAGCTCCCAAGCAAATCCCGAAGGATCAAGAAAGCTCTCTTCGTTCTTCGTCAACTCAACCTCCAAGATCAAGCCCCGATGGCCCTTGGATCAACAATCATCCACCTTCAAGATCAAGCCCCAACGGCCCTTTGAAGGAACTTCTACCAATTCAAGATCAAGCCCCGACTGCCCTTGAAGAAAGCGTTCATCGTTCATCATCCGTTCATCCTAAGATCAAGCCCCAACGGCTCTTTGGATCAACAACATCAACAAATCCACACATCCAACCGTTCTTCAAGATAAAGCCCAAAAGCCTTTGAAGATCCATTCATCAATTGTTCATCAAGATCAAGCCTCAAAGGCCCTTGAAGATCCGTTCATCAACAGTTCTTCAAGATCAAGCCTAAAAGCCTTGAAGATCCGTTCATCCAACCGTCCTTCAAGATCAAGCCCAAAAGCCTTTGAAGATCCATTCATCACTGTTCTTCAAGATCAAGCCCAAAAGCACTTGAAGATCCATTCATCACCGTCATTCAAGATCAAGCCTCAACGGCCCTTGAAGAAACTTTCAACCGTTCATCCAAGATCAAGCCTCGACGGCCCTTAGATCAATCGCACATCCACAATACACACCTTATGGAAATCGAATCAGATGATCAAATTTGAGAGAGATTGTAACCCAAAATCATCAAATACAAATATTATTTTGTACACGTTGTTCTTGTCTCGTTTGTTTCAGGAAAATTTCGTGTTGACACTCTTAGTTTACAAATTTTATCTCCAATTTAGTTTCCCTCACACTACTCAAAATAATAATTATTATAATAATAATTGAATGATAATATATTTAACATGGTTGATTTCATTGATTATTTTACTTTTTTAGTGATGCTATTTATAGTGTTCTTCACTAATCACCTCAAACCACCAGTCCTAGTGCTAAACTTCACTATTCACTAATCTAGCAGGTGGAATTTGCTGGGTGCTACATCCACCAGTGGGCCTCAACTCAAAACGAGAAATTTGGAAAAATAATCAAAATTTAGATTTTATATAAAATTATACTCATGCTTTTAAGTTTATGATAATTATAACTAAAAGTTGATATGAATGTATTGATATACCCTTAAAATGAATTTTCCTATAACAACCAAGAAACAAAATCCTACAAAAACACTCAAACGTTGGTAGTTTTCATTCTTAGGATTGAAAATATGTGTAAGAACGCAAAACCAACTGTCCATATATGTGTATTTTAGATTCCCAGAGTTTCTCAACAACCAAACAAAGTATAACAAGGACCCAAAAGTCATATTAGTTGATATCTCTTCTCTCAATTTTTGTTACTTGGATTTTTTTATTTGATAATTTTCCTGCTTTTACTTGTTTGTTCACATGTAAGTCCCGAATGCACTGTGTCGAGGGATGATAAGCCTTTCTCAAACTTTTGCAAATGTAGCAATTCTACTTTTCTAGTGCAAATGAGAAGAGAACAAAAAAAAGCACACATGCATAAAGATATATATGCAATAGAGAGAGAGCTAGAGTTACAAAGAAGGTGGTGGGCTGGGCGCTAGCTTCGGTGGAGATGACGGTGGTTGCGGAGTTGATAGTGTCAACACTGCTATCCATGATTGCTTGTGTGATCCCATAAAGCTCCTTGCTTTGCTTTTGGAGCTAAATTCCTCTTCCTTTTTTTCTCAAACAAACAACTCTGATGAAGATTGACTAAATGGGTTTCGAATACCCTGCTATGTGGCCGAAGAATGATAGTTTACTGGCTAGATTCGACCGACATGGAAGATTCGATCTGAATGAACATTTCTCGAACCTGGATTTTAAAAATATCTTTTTGGTTTTATGGGAAAACTCATTTTAAGGGTATGTTAGGAGTTTCATGTAAAATTTCGGTTATAATTACCATCAACTTAAAACTGTGACCTGACGAGGCACCCGTCTAAACCGCCTAGGCACTCGCTTAGGTTGCGACTCACTTTGACAGAAAATAAATAACTTTCATTTTGTATTTTATTTTATTTTAATAAATTATAAGCGACTTGCTGAATAGTTAAAACGCACACACATTGTATGCTTGTTCCCCATGTTTTCATTATGTTTCTATACTTCATAATATACATGTCATTCTATTTTGTGGTTTATGATGAAAAAATGTATATTTTAAGTATAAACAAACTTATTTATACAAAATATAATAGATTTACTTAAATCCACTTAATCCGTTTAGGCGCCCTCGCCCTAGTATAAAAAGACACTTATTTATACAAAATATAAACAAACTTAAGTCCGCCTAGCCACCAAGGCACTAGGCCCCAGCCCACTGCCCTAGTAGCGCCTATCGTCTTTTAGAACTTTTGTTCTTAATCAAGAAAAATAAGGGTACGAGTGCAAATTGACTAGTTGAAAGAACTAAGCAACAATTCCCTGGAAGTACCCAAAAAATATCACAGAAACAAGCAGTTGGAGGTGAATGCGTTTGCATGTGTTCAGCATAGCACAAAAAATCACAGTAGTGCTTTTTTCAGAAGCAGCCTGGGGAAGTAACTAAATGTATAAGCTTCAATGTTGTCTAAGTTCAAATATCGCAAAAAAATATAGAAAACTTCAGCTAAGCACCTCTGTATGCTTAAATATTAATGGAGTCAGTATGCCTTTTATAAAGGGAGCAGCCATGGTGACCAAAAAAGAGCAACTATATGTATATATGTATGGTATTAATAAAAGACAGAACGTTGAACATGTATAACACGAATCTACATGTCGATCAACTCAATCAAAACCTATCACCAAGCTCGTTATATACATAAATAATCTGAAAAACCATTATGAACCTTCCATCACCTTCCATCCTCCATATACACTAAACGACTCCACCACCAGCAACGGACCAGTAATTTGATGCCATTTATATGACAAGGGAGAGAACAAAAATCAGCAGCTCACATATGGCCAGGCTCACCACAAGAAAACAAGAAAGAAACTAACCTGCCATTGTGGACAATGAATCTGACTACTATCCCCTTATTCATGATCTATTTTAACCCATGTCATTCATTCTACCATTCATAATACTTTGCTCTAAGATCTAAGATGTATGCACTACAAATAGAAAATCGAGTTCAATACTAATTTCATGCCAGTGTCAACTCTAACCCCTCTTCCTTTTCATTATCATTGAGTTGAAAGGAATCAAATGCACAAGGGCACTGCATTTGAACGAGCATAGCTCCACAAACAAAACCAAAAACCAACCATATCTGTGACTGGCACCTAACCATGAGCACAGAATAGGAGGAAATAAAAACCTTCGTGCATTTGTAACCTCGGCATCTCAAACCATACTTCAAAATGGAGAGAACTGGACTTCAATTGCTGGATGATACTAGATTGGAGACTCAAATATCATTTCCTGCATCATAAGTGAAGAAGAGGCCTCTCAGTATTGTGGGTGACAATGGATATCTCTTCTCTTAAATCGCAACATAAGGAAAATATTAAACAAGGCAAACCTGATCACACACAGGACATGTGTCACTTCGTTCCATCCATTCAAGAATGCAAGCAAGGTGAAAATGATGATCGCATTTTGTGGTAATTTTTGGATTTTGTGGATCATACTCTGCAGAGAAGGAAGGAAATGATCTAGTAACTGAATGTGTCACATATTTAGAGGCAAGCGGAAAAACAAAGAGTGCAGTTTGAATGGACAACTTCAAGCAACAATGTCGTTGATCATAAGAAACTAAATGAAGGAACTTCCTCTTTAAAAGAAAGATAACGGTTTAATTATACAATTTTAGAATGGTTGAACCAAGGACTTTACCTTCCAAACAGGTGGGACAAAGATCCTCTTCCTCTATTGTTAAAGTAAAAGATTCCACTGATTTCTCAAGTTCAACTTCGGACTTCTTCAACGGATCAAGTTCTGAATCAGTTTGGGCTTTGCAGTCCGCATCCTTCAGGTCTTCACACTTGGGTGAAGCTTCTCGGGTATTTCGACCAACTGCTTCTTGAACCGAATCAGAATTTGTTGCTGTCTGCAATGCTGATTCACTCTTGCTGCCACAAATCTCTTGCACCGATGGTGGAGTATGAGGATCTTCTATAGCCACATCATATGGAATAGGGGCAGGAGGTGGTCTATAAGTGTCAGGTATTGATGTATCCAAATTTGTATCAACTAGGAGCCCAGTAGAGACTGCAGAGGCACCTCCTTGGCGAGACGATAAAGGAACTTGCTCATCTGATGTCCTTGGAAACTGCATTGTAATTCGAATTCACAAAAATATGAATAACAAGAAACAAAATAAATCACAAAATCAACTTCACTGCCAACACACACTGATTTAAAAGACTGAATTCCTTAATCAAGTCAATTATCAAAGGCCAAATCCACTTAAAACATTCACAAGAAACAAATAACCCCACAAAATGTTTTTAACAAAAGCAAAGCAACTCAACACTAAGAAATAGAAAAATAAAAAACAGTATTTAGAATTTAGAGTGTGTGAGGGAAAGCATTCTACTTACGTAATAGTATGTTGGTGCAGCATTTAGCTCCGTTCCTTTGGAAGAACAGCAGCAGCAGCCTCCCATTGTTTTCTTTTACTTATTATCTCTGCTGTGGAGAACTCGAGGCACTTGGTGCCACATATCCCTTAAACATAAAAAATGAAAAGGACGTTGTTAGACGACCGCAATAAGATGAACAATTTCCCCAAAATAAACAATAAAACTACAATTGATGATTTCAAACCCCATGACCAATAACTACGATTCAAGTTTTGACACCCGCGGATTAAACCAACTGTTCAAACACAATAGACCCTAAACACGTTCCTGGTGATATTAGTACAAAACCCCCACCATGTTAATTACTGCAAAACCCAAAAAACCCATCATATTAGCAGCAAAACGCATTTCATGGAGCTTAAAAAATAATTAAAAATTAGTGAAAATCCAAACTTCTCCACTACCAACACCCAATTCTATACACTTCGAGCAATTATCACGAGTAAAACAGCATCAAATTATCATGGAAGCAACTAAAGCAATCAAATTATACACAGACAACAAACAGCATCAAATTATTAGGGAAGCCATAAACTAAAAGCCTAAGCAGTCAATACCAATACACTTTTAGAAAGGAAAAAAATACATGATCAGCCGAAAAAGCTCATAAAAGCAGAAACAGGATTTTACAGAAAAACTCTTGAAAAGTCGATAAAAACACAAAGAGGAAGAAGAAGTAAAAAATATCAATCCCAATTTAGCAAGGGTTTGAGAATTTTGATTACCTTTTTGTGGATTGAAGACGCTTCGATCGGGATCGAAATTGGAATTGGGGATTTTAGAGGAAGGGAGGGAGTGAGTGGAGAGAGAGAGAGAGAGAGAGAGGGTGGACTCGTTGGAGAGCGTTTTGGAGGAGAGAGAGAGAGAGGGTGGCTGTTCTTTTCAGGGGGAATAAAACAAAAATACTAAATTAATTAATTATGCTGAAAATTATGAAATATAATAAATAAATAAATAAATACATTTTGTTGAAATTTTGGTATGGGTTTGTTGATTGTTGTTGTACCAATATTCACAGGTGGCAGTGGCATATGGGAAAACCAGTTTTTGGGCTTTTTTTGTTCCAAGCCCATTACTAGGTTACAAATTTGGACCCTTTTTAATCAATTTTGAGCCTAAATCCTTTACCATTTCAAATTCAATTCGGTCCCTTTTTCTTGATACAACGATATTGGGCTGTGGGGAGTTTGATTAAGTCATTTTGCATCATTAATAATCAAACTCACGATGTAAGAGTCGAACCTAAGATGTTCCATTTACAAGTAAAGAAGAATATTACTAAAACGATAGTGCAAAGATATCTACGTGAGTTACACTCATACGTATGTTTTTTTGAAATACATGATCAATACTGCACCTAGAACCATAATTATCTATAGAATTTAGGTTTGCTTAGTCCTACTTCCACCAATGCTTTTCCGTAGTTCAAAACTTTAAACAAGAAATAAAGGTACTACGTCTCACCAATCTACACCAGTAAATAAAGAACCTGAAAAAACTACATGATTGGAGAAAAACTCCCCTCTCACGGTGAAAAAGCCCGCACACACTCTCTCTCTTTCTCTTCTCACGTAAGCATATGTCCTATCACGTGAAGAGAGAGAGAGAGAGAGAGAGCTGGGGTTAGCAGCCAGAATGGATAAGTTATTCGCCCTCGGGAGTCTGCACATTAGATTTTGCACAAAACCATATGCTTGTAAAACCAAGCACATCATATAATACTCAAATGGCAGATATAATGATGAGATTAATACCTAATATTGATATAGAACAACTTAGGTATGAACCCTGTATTACAAAGTTAGGATTCGAGGAAGCGATGTCACCGTACTAAAGCCGAAGACTCTCCACATCAGTCTGTGATTAGATCTGACCTAACGGTTAGGTTAGTAGATACATATGTATATTATTATACAACCATATTTCCTTTTTTTGACATTCTCATTTCTCATTCTGCTTGTTTCCACTTCCGACTCCTGGCAGCATCCACAAATTCAGTGACCACCGATACCTCATCCAACGGCATCTGCAACCAAGAACAATAAATATGACGCAGAGGATTCTATTTGTGCATTCTAAGCATGTATGTAATTTTCTGTGTGCAGAAACATGAGAGAGAGAGAGAGACCTGCTGCGATGTAAAATGTCGTTGTGCAGCATTGATCAATTGTTCCCTTGTTGGATTAGAATTGCCGCTTAACTACAATTTCAAATTGCCAGAGCAGGATTTAGTCGAATGATTTCACAACCAGGCAGAACAAACAAACAAAGAGCAGGAATCAGCGATACCCACAAGATTGAAGTGTCTGCAATACCTCCTCAATGAGCTTGTTCCTAGTTTTCCCAAGTTTACTCTCTGATCATCCACACAGAAGATTAGGCAACACAATAATGGGTGTACATAGAAATGCGGAAATTCATACCGCATTAGGTGTAGAAGGATAACTATATATCAGAGCATGACCATTTAACTAAGCCAGAAAATGTGTCATCTACTAGAACCATTGGAGTCACCAATGCAAGCATATTGAAGCAAAGCGTTTGTTATTACTTGAGTAGGAAATCATAAGCAAAAGCATTCTATCCAAAGGCGTTAAAACAGTACATTCCCAATTCATAATTTTTTATTCCTAACAAAATTTACAGCATTGTTTTTAAATAAGTGAAAACATATTGAGGAGACTCATTTAGTAGACAGGATAAATTTTCAATGACAAACATGAATACCCAGAACTCACTTTCCAAGTTACTTACCGATTGGGGTGCTTGGATGTATTGAACTTCTCTATAACTTCCACGATTTACTGACTTTGTTGCTGAGGGTGGAACATATGGCCTTGAAAATCGAACTCTTGGTTTACTATGCTTATGGAACTCAAAGCATCTAGCTGCCAAAAGAAATACAATGATGAAAATTAGATAGAAGCTCCAAACAAATGCCAAACGAAAATATCGTAAAAAGAGCAACCCAATACACAAGGATCCCATCATCAAGATCCAAAAGGGGACAGATGTACAGTCGTATCCCTCATCCCCTAGAGGCTGTTTTCCCATTTTGAGTCCACAACCTCCAGGTTGCAATGTAAAAACCTTAGAAATGACTAAATTGACGCTTCATCAGGCATGGTTTATGCAACTTACAGAAATCATTCTCCTTATCACCATGGTCAGAGCTGCCGCTAGAGTAATCAAGATTGCTATCTTCCTCATTCCCTGTAGGATGTTCCAGCACACTCAATGCATTCCTTTGCAGCTTAACTTCAACTCCATTTTTCAGAACCTTGTCTCGCCAAAAATTAACGGTTTAAAAAATAAATCCCCACAATGCAGAACAGGATACTGAAGTGAAGTTATAAGATAAATCGTCCACAAGTAGTAATAACAATGAAAATCCATACTTGAGACTCAAGATTTGAAAGAATTAGTATAATAACACGCCCTAGATGGCAATGATAAGAAGGATTACATAAATTTACTTAATTCAAAAAGCTTAGGTTATGATCTAAACAAAATCGCAACCGATAAACTGAACCCAGAACAGAATTTCTGATACAAAATATCCAAAATTACATTTGACATGATTGCGTATATGATGCAAGAAGATAAAAAAAGAATGAGAGAAAGATCCAGAATCCCGCCAATGACAACGCACTCGGAAAAGAACTACAAATTCCAGTTGTCCCCTCCAAGAAACTTAAAACCCTATGATATTCATAAAATTGGTAGGAAAACGTACAAAGTGAGGATAGGGTGCTTATTGGACCTCGATAAAAACTTGGCCGGGGATTTCAACCCGGACGAAGGGAAAAAGAGTGTCCTGCACATACAACTAAGGAACTATCCTCACAAGATACAATGAAAACCCATATATTTGTATGACATGCAAAACCCCCAATTGTTCTCACAGTAGGAAACAACGAAGCACATGAAATGATATGCCTCGCTGTCAACTAATGCCTAATTTTCTGGGTCATCCCATAATTTTAGAAAGATGTTCCCTTTCCATAGAATACAACATAAACACAATTTTTTTTAATACAAGCGATATTGGGGAGAGGTAATGAGACTCAGAACCTTGCTCTTAACGAACCGAGCTACAAGTTAGTTTCACAAACACAACTTTTATAGAATAGAGGAAAATGACTAAAAGCCCAGCTTTTTCCCTTCCCAACAAAAACAACCAAAATTATCAACAAATCCACTTCAGATCAAAATTCGGCAAAACAGTTGAAAAATAAAAGCAATTATGGTAAACAAGTCCACAAAAACCAAATTAAGAAATAATTAAATGAAGACAAAATAATTTAGAAAAAGTGAGAAGGAAGAATACCAGCCAGTGCCAACCCCCAAGCCCAACAGCTTTCTTGACCACGCCTTGAAGACCCACCAAAACAGACTTTGTTCTGTTGTTTCCAGTGACAATAACCTTGGTGTGCCTGGGAAGAACTGAAAGTTCCTCATCTCCGCTTTCGTCCCGAAAAGGCGATAGCATCCGAGAACCACAGAACTCTGGCTCCAGCATTCTTCCCAGTTTTGATCACAAACTAGAGCTTCTACTAAACCCAATCAAACAACCAAAACCAAACCGCTTCACAGTCCAATACCCAACTTCTGAATTCAACAATTTGAAATACAAAAACCCATTTTTTCGATCCTAAAGGCCTTTTCCTCAAATGGGTTTTGCTTACATTACTACTAAAATTTCCCAGACAGATTCATGAACCAAATTAGCCAAGAAAATCCAACCTCCAATTCTGATCCCTGTGGCAGAAAGACATATGAAGGCCTTATGTTATAAATAAACCCAGAGACATGCAGTGATTCGAATTAATTCTAGAGGGAGAGAGAGAGGGACCTTTCTTCTTTATGAATGTGTGTAATTCTTGAGCTCTGACACGAAATCTTGAGGGAAATCTTCAATGCAAAACAGATAGAATGTCAATCACTGCTTCACGGGCTACGATTGATCACATTAAATGAAGCACTGTTCTTCACTCTGTATGCAAAACCTGAATCAATATATACACACATATATTGGATTAGTTTTCTCACACTTTTCTGCATTGAATAAAATTTTGGAGGTGATTTTTATTTACGAAAATTCATCCGAAACAGCTGAATTTTTTCTGAAAGATAATAATGATAAGAAAAATCTATTTACTTCTATGGTGAAAATACGTCAGCACTCAACCAAAGCAAATCCCAAAACTTTTGTTTGGCAGCTGAGAAAGTGTCAGAAATAAAAAGTTTTAAATTTTTTTTGGCCTATTTAAAAACTGAATAAAAGTTTTATTTAAACGAACCCCACTTAACTGAGCTAATCAGACAAAGGGTACAGAAAACCAACATGATTAAATAAAGCAGACAAGAAAAACAGGCACAAAATTTTTGATTTGACTGTTTGTGCCCCCACTTTCTGGAACTTTTTCATTTTTTTTTCAAAAAAATAAGCTCAACCATGCATCAAAATTTGTTAACAACAATGAATAATTACAACTTAATGACATTACAACCAGTGAAAATTACAAAAGCAATCAAATAATTAATCCCAATAAACTCCAAAAGAAAAAAATAATACTAACAGTGAGGGAGCTGCTAAAATAGAAACTTTTGGAGCTAAATTCAGCAAAGATATGAGCTTGAACCAGTAAAAAATTTGCAAATGGCTGAGAAACGAAATGTGTCGAAAACCCAACTGAAAAAAAAAAAAAAAAAAAAAAAGCAGAGAAAAAAGTGCATTACCTGTTTGGTTCTCCAGAAAATAACAGGAATCTCTGAGAAAAACCCAGATGACAAAAAGGTACCCAAGACAGGATTTTGAATAATATGGAGTGATCCTGAAAATTGTGGAGAAATGGATGATTTGAAGATTGTGAAAATGCAGAGGCGTTTCTGAGAGTGAGTGAAAAGGATTGGAATTTGCTGATGGAGAGAGAAAGTAGAGAGAGGGGGGGGAAGGAATGAGCACACTAAATGCTTACCAACTGTCAAGGGAACGACCTGCCATTTGCCGTACAGTCATGCCTTTGTAACCGGGTATAGCCGGTTGAAATTATAGGCTCCGGCTCGGCTAGGTTTTGTGAGCCGGGTGGTTTTGTCGTGTAGTGGGAGATTTAAGGACTACAGCGTGGCCCAAACAGTGTGTAGGTTGGAAAAAGTGAAAGGAAAATTAATAAAATAAGTTTGAAATTTTGAGTTTTAATGATAAAAATAAAATAAAGAGTAAAGTGAATTGTATCAGGATTGATTTTTTTAGTGTAAACATATAATTTTTCGTTAAAATGAACAATATTTGGAGTTTTTCGTTAAAGTTCCCAAAAGTGAAAGGTTCTGAAAAAATTAGAAAAAAAACTGAAACCGAAGTCTTAACTGAAATAATTCGGTTTCCTTTTATAAATTCTAAAAATCGAACCAAATATTAATTTCGATTTGGTTTTCAATTTTGACTACAACCTGAAACTAAAGTCTGAACTGAAATAATTCGGTTTCCCTTTATAAATTGTAAAAATCGAACCAGATATTAATTTCGGTTTGGTTTTCAATTTTGACTACAACCGGACCGAATCCACTCATAAATATTATAGGCTCCTTGTAAATTTCTGGAAATTGGAAGTGAGAGATTCAACCCAAAAAATTGTTACTATCTTTTTTAACTCCAAAGAAATAGAAATTTATGTTGGTAAAAAGTAAAAGGTTGTGAAAATCTACCCAAGGGGTTTCTATTTGTTCAACAGTTTTGGTCTATGAAATTTAAATTAAAGCTCGGAATGTCGTCGAGGGTGGCAGTGTGAGCAACTAAGAGAAGCCAACCTCCTAAGCCCACAATCTAGGAAAGCCCTAAAAAAATTTACTAGTACATAAATATGCTGAAAACAACCTACATATCAAAAACTAATAGCATGTTTTTTGGTAACATGTAGCTCCTCGTGTTTTATAAAAGGGTTTGTCTCCCAATCTTCAGGTCTTAAATTCAACAAACTAATTTTTCTTCTTGAAAAATTGAATGAAATGATCAATCAACAAATCTCAATTGGTAAAATGATTGATTTTGGGTTAATGTTTATTCGATCTATAGTCAATGTTCGAATTTTATTAGTTCAACTAGGGTTGGGAAACCGAAAATTTAAACTCAACTCTCTCTCTCTCTCTCTCTCTCTCTCTCTCTCTCTCTCTCTCTCTCACACACACACACACAACTTCTTACTCAAATTCACACACACACACACACCCCTCTCGCTGTCTCCCTCCCTCAATCCTTCTTGATCCTCTTCGGTATCACCATTCACCACTACACTCCTTCGGCTTGCACAAACTCTCTCTTCCTCTTGACCCACCACCACCTATTCCACTATCAAGTAGCCGTTGATCTTATCTCTCTCTTCATCTACCTACCAGCTCGATGAGAAACCCTTTCGTTTCAGCCGTTGACCCGTTGACGTAGAGCTCCGTCAATTCTCAACCAAATCTCTCAATTCGACCGTCAATGTCTGTGTCTCTCTCCCCTCTATCTCCCTCTGCAACTCACTCTTTCTTTTAGAATTTAGGTTTTAAATTTTCGAACTGGGGGATGAATTTCATAATTGGAGGATGATTTTTTGTTGGGCCTATAAAAAAAAAAAAAAAAAGGAATTTCGGTTTCCCAAACCCGAAAAAAGAAATCCAAAAATTTGGGGATTACCAATTTTCGGTTCTTGATTTTTCCGATGTTTTCAGTTTAGTTTTCGGTAACCATTAACCAGATCTAAGTTTTTTTTTTTCGAAAGGAGAAATTAAATTAAAAATCAAAGCCTCTAGGGCATCCATTACAAACAAATATAAAAGAAGATGCACTCAGAAACTGCATTGATCCAAACATGATAATAGGAGAGGGATCAAACAACTGAAAGCGACAAGAGTATCAGCAATTAAATTAGCTTCACGGGACACGTGGGCAAAATGGATGTCTTCAAACCAGCCTTTGAAAGAAGTAATGTCTATAAAAAGGATTTTAAGCTTCCAATACACCGTACATTTTGAAAGCACAATATCGATGATTAATTTAGAATCTCCTTCCACTAGAACTTTTGAAAATCCAACTCTCCTAGCATGCACCAGACCCATCCAAAGGGCCATATCCTTAGCCGTCATCATACTCACATGGCCAAGAGGAGCAGCAGCAGCAGCAAGAGTGAGACCATTGGACTCTCTTAAGCAATCTTAGCAACCTGGTATGGGTGGGGATTGGTGCTTCTGTTCTTGGAAATCAAGTTTTTAAAAGTCCGAACTTGCCAACAAGTGAGGAAGGTTTTACAAAAATATTGCTTAGGAATATTAGGGGAAGGTTCCAACGAGAAGGATTTAACATCCAATCAAGGAGAGGTTGATGGGGAGGAGGCAAAATATGAAGATTAGAAAACCTCCAAACATCTACGCAAAAACACATCTTACAAAAACTAGCCCTAAGTTCAACCATTCAAATCGATAAACTCATTTCATGGTATTTTTTATAAACGATAAGGTAATCAACATTAAATTCTTCTAAATTATTGTTTGGACCCATTTTTACACTGTCAGTCCGAGTAATCGAGATCGTTGAATGAGTAGGATTTTAGACCAATAAAGTGGTTGAAATGATTTTCAATTATTATTGAGAAATAATATTGTAATTTTAATTATGATATTATCTCTTAGTAATATATTAAATTATTTAAACTTAATATTTGTCTAAATCCCAATTGATTTGAATGGTGATGAAATATAGGGATATGCATTAAGGCATGGCATTAGATAACAGCATGCAAAGATATTGGGATACGATTTGCATATGTGGTATTGCTTTGGCCACATGACACATGTATAATTAGGACTCCTATGCAAAGTGGTATTTTGATGGAAGATGGCATCTCAAGTGATTAGCTGATACAATAAAATTGCATGCATGGTTGCACAAGTGTCGTGGGAAAGATAGCTTTATAGTTTGCATTAGGAGTCTTTGGCTATGAATGACATCTTAATGGGATAAAGCAAGGCTACTGATGGAGTTTTGATGTGATGTGATAAGCCTATTTAGAAAGGAGAAATTAAATTAAAAAGCAAAGCCTCTAGGGCATCCGTTACAAACAAATATAAAAGAAGATGCACTCAGAAACTGCATTGATACAAACATGATCATAAGAGAGGGATCAAACAACTAAAAGCGACAAGAGTATCAACAATAAAATTAGCTTCACGGAACACGTGGGCAAAATGGATGTCTTCAAACCAGCCCTTGAGAGAAGTAATGTCTATAAAAAGGATTTTAAGCTTCCAATACACTGTACATTTTGAAAGCACAACATTGATGATTAATTTAGAATCTCCTTCCACTAGAACTTTTGAAAATCCAGCTCTCCTAGCATGCATCAAACCCATCCGAATGGCCATATCCTCAGCCGTCATCACACTCACATGGCCAAGAGGAGCAGCATCAGTAAGAGTGAGACCTTTGGACTCTCTTACGCAATCTTAGCAACCTGGTATGGGTGGGGATTGGTGCTTCTATTTTTGGAAATTAAGTTTTTAAAAGTCCGAACTTGCCAACAAGTGAGGAAGGTTTTACAAAAATATTGCTTAGAAATATTAGGGGGAAGGTTCCAACAAGAAGGATTTAACATCCAATCAAGCAGAGGTTGATGGGGAGGAGGCAAAATATGAAGATTACAAAACCTCAAAACATCTAGGGCAAAAACACATACTAGCCCTAAGTTCAACCATTCAAATCGATAAACTCATTTCACGGTATTTTTTATAAACGGTAAGGTAATTAACACTAAATTCTTCTAAATTATGAAAAAGAAAATTCAAACATGAACGTCGTGTATGAATGGTCTTAACCAATGGAACATATGTTTTCAAAAAAAAAAAAATTGTAAATGCTTATGATGTATTTAACCAGGGTGCCATTTGTCCGACAACCAAAATTGAAAATTGGACGGTTGGTATTCACTCTCATCCATTCCCCAAGTTCTATCATATAAGCTCTCATTGTCATTCTGGGCAATTTAGTCTTTTTAATGTATAACTTGGGCTCCACCTTCGAGATTGGAATAGGAGGTAAGCCATTTAGCCGTTAGCCAGTAGGCAAGCCGAAGCCAAAGCGGAGGACATGAAAAGTGACCGGTCACTCAACAAAGGGAGGGAAATAACATACACGTGTCAGGAACACAGCTGCCTTACCTTATCCTAACAAGTGTCCACTTGAGACCACGGTATAAAAAAATTGGAAAGAATTATCTTCCCTCCTATTTCTCTCCCTTCTCTCCTATCCTCTCATACTTTTTATTTTTGTCATTCTCTTTACAAAAAAAATTAATATAAAATGTTAATATGACTTATTCATAACGTTGAAATAGAAAGGGAAGGAAGAGGAGGGACAAAAAAGGGAATCCTAATCTCTGTCTAGGTATTAAGGGGTTGACCACAATCGCGACTAATTATTTGGCGCTTAAAAAATAAAAAATAACATGTCACCCCAACTATGAACTCACTTGGATCGCTTAAGTCATGATTCTCACATAAATATAAAAATAGATAATTTTTATTTTGCATTGTTTTCATTAAACTGTAAGAGATTTGTTGAATCTTAAATAAACATTCATTATATGTTTATTCTCCATATTTTTAATATGATCCAGTACTTTATAATTTATATGCTATTTTATTTTGTAATTTATTTATCTCAGTAAAGCTATATATTTTTAAGTAAGTAGATATTTATTTATATGTTACATAACAAATTTAAGTAAAATTACCCAATAAAAAAAAATTGTCTAAAATTTTGTCTAGAAGCCTAAACGCTCATACTATTGGACTAGCCTTTCAGAAGCTTGTTATTAATATTTAATAGTAAGCAAGCAAAACCCCCACTCACCATTTGTTTTATTAGAAAAAAAAAAGGAAAAAGAAAAGAAATAGAATAAATTTGAAATTGGATTACTAGTCCGCCCTTTCC